CCCCCCCCCCCCTCTTGACATTTTATTTCATTGTAAAGTGCTGTCTAACTGTCGGACGCATTGCGTTTTACATGGATTTTGTATCGTACGCATTTTCAGGCGTAAAATCTTATCTTTTGTTTATTTATGAATTTTTTAAAGTCCTAATAGTTGTTAACTGCAGGAGATACAGGTTTAAGATAATAATTGTTAAAATAATACTTAAAGGGACTGTAGTGTAATAATACTTAAAGGGACTGTGGTGTAATAATACTTAAAGGGACTGTAGTGTAATTTTAAGGTACCCTCCATTTAAAGAGGGGTGTGTTCAATTCACAGTTTTTAATCTGATCATCAATGCAGAAGATATCCTCGTTTTTCTGGCTTAAAAAGTATTGGATTCCTACAGTTTCCTCAATTGTTTCCGAAACAGAAAGGCATATATTTTTAGAGAAATACAAGGATTTAATGCAAGGAAAGTTTATTCAGAGGTGCACGCATCTTTTGTACTGCAGTGTACTGTCACTGGGCGGTAATGTAAACACAAGACTGATGTCGAAGCCTGATATGGGATCCATTTTTCACATAAATAATCAGTGAAATATTCTGGTCATAGGAAACTATTATGTGAATTATTAAACTTATCTAAATTCAATGCTTTAACCTCCTCGGATACAAAACGAACACTGATGCATCTATTCTTGTTTACAAATTTCGCCCAGAGAAAACTGGTTTCAATATGTACGCAGAGTATGCGCACTGTAATTAACTTTCCTTGCATTACATTCTTGGAGAAAGGGGTCAATTTTCAGACAAAGCTGCTGTGAATCAGACATGCTAATCTCTAAATAGAATTAACATTCTCTTAACACACTAAATATTTTATCAATTCCCTAAATTTTAAACAATTAATACTTAAATATTAAGAAACCTGTTTTCTGTGTGTTTTGGTCTCGTGCCAAAAGTTTTATTTTAATGATTTGATATTTTTAACATTTTCCTAAATATTCTCCAGATTTGTGTGAGCTCTGTCCGATGTTATCATTAGCCTTATCTTTTTTTGATATCAAGGCTTCATTAGGCATTTTCCCGGGCATTTTCACGTCTGGAGAGGGTCAA